CGGTGTCCCTACCCGGTGACACAAATATTTTTTATCGAAGCTAGTTTTTCCATGAATCAATGAGTAAGTGTTATTTAAGTTACTTCTGTATTTTTAAAATTAAACGTACGCAGCAATAGATTTATTTCACTTCAATGAGGTACTGCATTAGATATTCTATTCCAGTTCGATCTCATTTCATAGGCAAGGTACTCATTCGTTTTGAAACGTGAATTTATTCGTTTGTTTCATTAGTATATTTGACAAAATTAATTTTCGTGAATTTATTCTTTTTCCTTTTTTAAGGCATAAAATAAATATAATATATAATACTTCGCCTGGTTGTTGTAAACAACAACTAATTGGTTTATTTCTCATTCACAAATTACGAAGAATTTAATATTATTCTTAACATGTTAATTCATTACTCGATTTAACTTTTACCTAATAGCTTCCTGTTATACCGACGTTATACCGACAGTATCGATACGTTTGTTTACGACGACGATTGGCCGTCATATTCGAAGCTATCGCTCACGCTGTCGCGCGACCGGTCTATACGCGCTCTCATTGGTCAGTGTTTTTCATTAATAATTCAAAAACTAAGCTTTAGCCAGCATTTTGGTAAAGGAAAAAGTTGTTCAGAATCACTCCAGCTACCACCCCCTAAAATTATGCCCACCAGTAGCCGAACACCCTGTGCTTATGTGTAATATAAGGGAAGGACTTGATAAAGGAAAGGAAACTGTGGCTGCTTTCGTTGACGTTAAGGCTGCCTATGATTCGGTGTACCATGATGTAATAGGAAGAATATTAAGAGACATGAGATGTCCAGAAAGGATGCGTGTATATGTGAATGAGTGGTTACAAGAGAGAGAGGTAGAAATAATGCAAAGTGGGGCGAAAGGTAGGGTATTTACTCTGAAAAGAGGCTTGCTTCAGGGATCTGTCTTAAGTCCTTTACTATATAATTTGTACACCACAGGAATAGTGGAAGGGATTAGAAAACTGGGTGCAAAGACACTGAAATATGCAGACGACATAGTAGTTTATGTGGTATATGAAAATAGGAAGGAAGGTTTGAAGAAATTGGAGGAAGCAGTGAGGGAGATTGTGTAGGAATTTGGGAAAGCGAGGATTGAAAATTGCAGAAGAAAAGACACAAATAGTTACGTTTATAGGTAACAAGAGGGGTGTTAGCTGTAGGAAGGAAGATTGTATCATGATTAATGGAGTGTCGGTGAAGGAGTGTGAATGTGCGAAATTTCTAGGAATAATTCTTGATAGGAAAATGTTATTTAGGGAGCACACTGAGTATGTAATAGAAAGACTGAAGAAAAGACTGAATATGCTAAGATGTATTGGAGGTGTAAGGAAAGGGGCTTGCCCCTCTGTGATGCTAAAGATCTTTAAAGCGCTTATGAGGTCTGTGATAGAGTATGGAGGAAGTTTGTACCTTATTTATAAACAAAATAGGGATAGGATACAGAAGTTGCATAATGCGTTATGTATCAGAACAACTCAATTTTTTCGACGGTGAATACGCACAGTTTATTTCAATTATTATAACAACGTATTATAATTCAGTTTGCGAGTGATAGACATCAATATTACAATCAAATGCCGAAATACTTGCTCACGCAATGAAAGTCTTTGCAAAATATGAAGTAAAGTCCGCAATGACAAACAAGTATGTCCCGTAGTGACAAGTTATAAGTGAAGCCTCGTAACGACAAATATAAAGAATGATGCGCGTAGCAACAAATATAAGAGAATGAAGGTGCGGGCCCGGTGCCCTTGCTTATTTTATACGTTTCACTCCCCTACGACGTCTCCTAGCAACCACCCGATTTCTTCGAAATCTGCCACGTGCCCTCCGTCGACCTTGGCTTCGCGGTCATCCCTCTACGATCGATCCTCGCGATGCCGCCCGCCCTTTGCGGCCGAGCCGCCGCGCCGCCACGCCGCGCGCCGATACCGATGTCGCGCCGGCACTTGCCGGTACCCGCCGTCAAACGGAGCGGTCCGCGCCTTTGTACTCGTTTCTCGAAAATTACGCATCAGGAGACGTCGCCGAGGAGTGTCTTTCTTTTCTGCCGAAGTGCGCACCTGGGTTCGCCGGCATTTCGCGGTGGATCAAATACTTATTAATTGGCATTTTTCTCGGAATTTCAGAGCATGTGCCACGTGCCACTTTTGCCACGTGCCATTGCCACGTGCCATTGCCACGTGCACCACGCACGTGTACATTTCTTAGAAAAATTAATTATCTATCGTCTTCGAGTGCGACCGATCCCGCAGACAGCTAGCCGGAGCGCAGGGCAAGCAAGCTCGCCCCCGCCCGGGTTCTCACCTCTCCCGAGCGGAGTGGCCCTCGGTGTTTTGGTGAGCACCACCACTCCCGGGCGGATTGGTTACCCCCGATGCTACGATGGTGCTTTTTCATGCCAAGACACTCATGGTGTTCGACGAATACGGCCACAGGTTTCCCCGTGCACGTAGGGCTTCGAGGCATGGAAACTCGCCATGCCTGCTGCTTTTGACCAGTCGTCCCCGAAAACCCTGCTAAATTCATTAAATCTTATGTTTATCCTTAAATTCTCATTCCATGCTCTGAAATGCCTCAATTGGCCAGTTCTATCCGTAACACGTTAGGTTATAGAATGTCAACTCCAGTAAATGTTATGGAGGCTGAGGCGGGAATAATGAGATTGGATATGCGAATAGAAATGTTAACGGAAAGATATGTGGTTAAAAAGTATTATACAATGGATAAGGAAATGTGTGAAGTAATGGAAGGAATGGTTAGATATAGAGATATAGAGGAAAGTAGTGTGGATAATGAAATTCTGACGTTGGCATGGAGGAACACCATAGAGATAAGGGAAAAAATTGAGAATAGATATGTATATGAGAGAAGTGAATTGTGTAATGTTAAAATAGAAAATTGGGTTGAGGTAGAGAAAGGAGTAGCACTGCAGTAGGGAAACGTCCCCATTAATGCAGTGCTAGACGAAATCAAAAGAAAATGGATCAGAGAAGGAGAAAGATCGGTAGAGGTTTATACGGGTGGATCGAGGATGAAGGATAGAGAATTAGGAGGGGCAGCAGTGGTCATCAAGAGAGGCAATGAGGAATGAGAAGAGCACGGTTTTGCAGTGATGAAGAAGTGTTCTATTTTTACGGTGGAGGCGTGGGTTGTTTGAAAGGCATTGGAGTTATTGGAACAAGATGTCAGGGAAAATGCAGTGATTTTTACTGACTCATTGAGTGTAGTCAGGAAAATTATGAATGAAAGGGAAAATGATGAAGAGGAAGGAGTAATTGGTAGAATAGGAGAAAGAGTGAAGAGAAGAAATAAAGATGCAGAGGTGAGGGGATCTGGTGTAATAGGTATTGCATGGATCCCGGCCCATGTTGGAATCGTGGGAAACGAAATGGCAGACAGGGTTGTAAAAAGAAGTACGATGGAAGAGGAGGACCTTTTAGCAAATGCTCGCTGAAGGATGCTCTGAGAAAGGTGAGAGAGGAAAAATGGAGATTGTCAACGGAGGAGAATTTAAGACAAGGGGAATATAAGGGCAGGAGATATTTTGCGGCAGAGTGGAGTAATATAGGGAATAAAGTGGTTTGAGGGAATTGGACAACTGAGAAGAGGGACAATTAGTGCTTTGGGGAGAATAAGGGCTGACCATTATAATTTAGGTTGGTCGTTGTATAGAAAGAACTTAGTCAGTTCACCGGAGTGCCCTTGCGGAGATCAATGCGAGGATCTAGAGCACATATTGTGGGAGTGCGGAAGATTTGATGAAGAAAGAAGAAAATTTGTGTTAATGATGAACAACACTGGGATTGGCAGTGGTACGGTGTTGCATGAGGATAAAGACATGGGGAGTCGAAAGGCGATGCGGCTAATTGGTGCCTTTTTAAGTCGATGTAAAATAGATTTATGAGACTGAATAATGTTTAATGTGTATGAGTGTGGTAGAATAGGAATGTATATAGGAGCGTGGAGTGAGGTTGAAAGGTTGTAAGGAAAATATGGAGGGTGAAAATGGGTTTGTTTGTATGTATGTAGGTATGGATAAATGGCGTGGTTATAAGATATTAGGTTAAGTTTGTTTTTTGTAACGGCAAGTTAGGAGGAAATGTCTCCTAGACGCCTTCTTCGTTAGAAGAAAACAAATAAATAAATAAATGTTCAAAACTAACCTGTCATATCTTTTCAAAGGTCAAACAACCACTTTGATTGATTACTTTTAATGACATTCATGCTAGACCAACTTCCGGAAGCTCAATCGCTAATCAGATTGGACAAGACAGAGAGATGAATCGGTTTACAAGATCGATAAGAGAACAAGTTCAGTTCAGACAATTGTAAATATTACTTCAATCTATAACGAACAGACACATTCAGAGTTTAAAGTTTTTCGAGTTGACGATCACTTATAGTCGATTAGCTTTCGTTATAGAGCAGCGTTATTTTACAATCAGATTCCAACAACATCTTTCTTTATCAAGTAATATTTCATTAAAAAAAGGCATTGATAACATATTGAAACATCCTTATTACTGTAAAAGGAGTAAGAAAACGCGAAAAATGCGGGAGTTAATCCAAAAGATTAACGATCAAATTCGCGTTATTTTATAGTAAATGTGAAGTCATGTTTGCAATATTGAAAATTACAAAGTTTGACGAAATGCATACTCACACACAAATACACACAAAAAAAGGATCTTGTCAGAGCCATATGATGTGCAAAATCTGTCCAGCAACCTCTTCGACATGAATATCGGGTAATGCTAATGCCGGCGGTATATGCCATAAATGCAAGGG